GTTCTCTTGTAGTTAGTTTCGATATATTCCACTTGAACTAGAATTAACAACCATATTGACAGCTGAAAGCTGTCATTCTTGGCTCACTGCGCTTGTTCAGGGCACATGATTCTCAGGCCAAATGATCAATTACTCCACGGTGTGAAGAGTGGTCGTAGGTTGATTATGCTGGCGCGTCCTCCCGAATGTATCGAGGCTTCGGAGTATAGGGCTTCACCACTGCCAACTACGGTGAAAAAAAATAATAATGAAAATAATAGGGATGGCCGCTAACACCCTTGGCCTTTGGTGAGTTGCACCACCACTCACCCGAGCAACTGGTGCGAAACCGAACCGGCAGCCCAGGAGCACCAGGGTAGGAGAACACTATTCTCCCTCCGGTGCCGGCCGTGGGTCCACTGAACTAACCACCCGGTTAACCACCCCACAATCAACCTGCTCGAAGGAGTTGGAGGCAAGGTGGTGGGGCCCATTATACCGATGACAACCCTGGCAATGACAACGGACGCTTTGAGTGGAGGCATGAGCTAAGAGAAAGCCATATGCATTACTACGAGAGTAATGAGTCCGCGAGAAGAGGGTACATGGCGAGATTGCATACTCTGTGGTGTGGAACACATCCGGAGCATGCCGCCTTCTCCACAAAAAATCTTAGAGAATACGTATCCTATCTTCGGCGTCAGGGCTATATAGCTACTTCTCAACCGACTAACGAAGTGGTAGAAGTGACAGTTCCACCACCCGTTGGCACGGCTGGAGAGGAGACTCGCATCATGTCATCAATGGAGTTATTCAGAACACGCAGGGTGCTCCACAGAATTAGGCCCCTGAAGCTACAAAACTGGCTTGTTTGGATGCGGAGGTTCATAGTGTTCTAACAGAAGAGGCTGACATCTGGCAAATCAACACCGCCGTATATAGCGTCATCCAATCGCTTTCCGGATCGGAAGGACGAAATCCCGGCCTTACGGTTCGAAAGATTGAACGGCGTGTACACAAGATGGAGGCTAAGATCACGTCGGCGAGACAACACGCGTCTCGTATCCAATGTGTGATAGATTACAGGGGGCCAACAGCCTTCCATGCCCGCAGGGCATCAGCATCACATTTTGAGTCAAGGCGTGCTGCTGACCACCAAACAACACTGCCTTAATAGGATACGAATGCGAGTGGCTGCTAAAAAGTCACTAGTGAGGCTAGCGAGAAGTATCGCGGAAAACCTTAGGTTCTGCGAGAAACCTTCTCGCTTATTCCAAGAGCCTCCATGTATTGTGGATAATCCGCTGACTGCTGATCAGGTGGATTTCTTCTGGAAGGATACCTATGTACACCCGCAGCCACTCATCTTAGACACACCAGTCCTAGCGCAGTTCGAAGCTTTCAACATAGAGCTTCGACAATGAACTGAGCTCAATTAACTGCGCAACGCGGTAACCCCGGATGACCTTTTGGGTTCCCCAGATGGGCTGAACACTCATTGGTGGAAAAAACTAACAAGCACCAACCGCCATCTGGCCAGAGTTTTCAACTCATGACTGGACGGAGAGCAGCCCATTCCAGATTGGTTTGCCGAGGAGCGGAACGTTCTCATCCCCAAAAGCGGAGATTTGTCGATTCCTAAGAATTACAGACTTATAACATGCTTGAATTCGTGTTATAAGTTGTTCACAAGCATCTCATACACACGAATACTCACCGCAGTTGACCGAGTGTTTGAACGGATATATGAGCAGAGAAGATCGAAGAGAAGAGTCGCTGGATGTGCAGAGAACCTGCTTATAGATAGATGTGTAATGCAGATAGATGTGTAACCTCTCTATGGCCTGGATCGATTACCGTAAGGCATTTGATACAATATCGCATGAGCTCATCTTGCATTTGCTCAGATGCCTTGCGGTACTCGACAAAATAGTATGATACATTGTACAACTGATACCACTTTGGCAAACTCGCTTCATCATAACGTCTGGTCCAAACAGGGATGTGAAGAGAATCTGCTCATAGATAGATGTGTAATGCAGATAGATGTGTAATGCAGATAGATGTGTAACCTCTCTATGGCCTGGATTGATTACCATAAGACATTTGATACAATTTTGCATGAGCTCATCTTGCATTTGCTCAGATGCCTTGCGGTACCTGACAAAATAGTATGATGGATTGAACAAGTGATACCACTTTGGCGAACTCGCTTCACCATAACGTCTGGTCAAGCAAGGGTGGGTCACTTTCAGAAGGTGTGTATTTCAAGGCGATTCCCTCAGTCCCCGTCTCTTCTGCATCTCTTCTGCACTCAGAAATACTTGAAGGTATAACTGTGGCACCCGCGGAAACCGGAGGCACAAGGAAGAGAAGGATATCCATCAGTATTTGAGGATGGTGGAAGAGTACACACATGTAATCGGTATAAAATTTAGGATAGACAAATGTGCGATGGTCCTTCTCAAAAGAGGACGATGCGGGGACTACGGAGATGATGTGCATCCTACACCATTTGGATGCCGGAGAGAAGTATACTTACCTCGGGGTGGAACAACGTCACTCACAAGAGGTAACAACAGTGAAGAACTATCTCTGCGGCATGTATCAGCACAAACTTCGACAGATCTGGTCATCGGAACTGTCGGGGAAGAACAAAGTTGCTTCAACAATTATGCTTGCCGTTCCGATCTTACTCTACTCGTTTAGAATAGTGAAGTGGACTTGGGAGGAGCTGTATCAACTCGACGTAAAGACCCGAAAAATGATGCATCTCTATAGGAGTTTGCATCCCAAATCGTCCGTTCTACGGTTGTACTTCCCCCGACAACAGGGAGGCCGTTGACTTTTGAGTTTGGAGAGTCTACATAACAGAATGGTACTAGATGAAACCTGTAAAGTAATCAGGAGTTTGGATCCTCTTCTCTGCATGGTCCGTACCCATGAGACAGCAGGAATTGGAGCATCTCTCTTTAGGGCAGCTAGCCGAGCAGCTGATGAACTCGGTGACACTGAACGAGATGACTCCAAGTCTGTCACCGAATTGAAATCCGTTCAGCAAAAAGCTTATAATATAAAAACCGCAGAGATCACCTCACTTCTGCAGAAACACGAGAATAAGCCATTGCATGGAGTCTTCTTCAATAACATAGGAGACCTTGACCTGACTTTCGCTATCCTAAGGTCTAGTGTAAACTGAAGAGTTCATCATGGCTTGTCAGGATGGTGTCTTCAACACCTTAGTCTACCGCAGTTGTGTGATAGGTATAGAGTTTCCTGACATACGGTACAAGGCCTGCCGCGAGGCGCCCGAGACCCTAATGCACTTGTTATAAGCATATCCAGCATATGCGGTCTCGGCCTATATCCATCGACATAACGCGGCCCTAAGAGTGCTATATTACCTTCTATGGCACTCTTGCGGTATTGATGAAACATCGGTGTTGCCCTACGCTCCGGGGGATATTGAATCCGTTGTGGGGAACGATAAGTGTCGAATTTATTGGAACTATTCGTTCCCCACCGTCAGGCTCATACAAGCTAGTGAGCCTGATGTAGTCCTTCTCGACCACCAGAGCAAAACGTTATTTATCGTGGAGTTTTCAGCTCCTAGCGAGACGAATATCGTCAGAAAAGAGGAGGAAAAACGGATAGTGTTTGACCAACGCCTACTACGGTAAAAGAAAATGTAGTCACAAAGAAAATTAATGGTATGAATCATCATGAAATAAGGTGAATGTTCAAATTTGGCGGGCTGCGTCCATTCAATTGGCGATTTTTTATTTTCTTCTAATGTTGGTACCCTCGTCTTGAATAAATGTTTACAGTTTTGGCTGTTTGGCATGTTTAGTTTGTTGGTGAAAGGCATAAAAGTTAGAAGTGTTTTACATGTTCAGCTGTTTTCTACTGCATCAGAGATCTGCATCAAATTTTGCACTAGAAATGTTGATAGTGGCATACCATGGGTGTACTCTGTGTCAAAAATTGTTCATAAGTGGTGAAAGCTTTTCACACAAGGTTGAGAAGATGTAAGGGACGAGGCTTGTTCTGGACATCGCAGCACATCAATAACAGATGAAAATGTTGAGAAAACGAAGAAACTTGTTATGGAGAATCGTCGAGTTACTATTGAAGAAGTTGGTGTGGATGCAGGCATTTCGATTGGTTCATATCATGTAATATTGCTGAATTTTGACTAAACGAAGACTATCGCGTTAGCATCGCTCAGGATTTGTTATATGACGTCAACGGCGAAACAGATTTGCTGAAAATGGTTTTAACTGCTGACGAATTAAAGGTATACGGTTATGACCTCGAAATCAAAGTCTAATCGTCCCAGCGAAAAGCTCCGGGAGGGAGCCAAGGCCAACATGAGGAACATGAGAAGCAAGCCGGGTCTAATCAAATGTTAAGCTACTGTTTCGACGAAATCAATTCAATTCATGTTTGAGACTTCGTTTCATTTTCCTGGTGGGATTGAACACTGTTTTTATTTGATGCCTCCCTAGAATGTTTCTGCTTTTGTCTGTAACCCTAGGGATGTACGGTAGAAATGCACGTGCAACCGTTTGAGTTTCCTCCCAATTTTGACTTGTGGAAGTCTTCAGTTTCTTGGCCTTGTTGATCTTGGTTATACTCTATCCATTCGATCTCAAAGCCACTTGAAGATGCTCCAATTCTTCTTGTAGGTGTTTCGGTTCACATATTCTACAGACACGTTCCGTCAGGGTGTTGATAATTCCCCGCTTTTGACTTGAGTTGTGGTTCGAAAGTGCATGCAGATATCTTTCCCTATGTGCCAGTTTATGGTACACTTCATGTGTCAGTCTTGTGCCATGCCTTTCGACGAGTACATCTAGAAAAGCTATCTATTGTTTCTGTTCAGTCTCCATGGTGAACTTGATGCTAGGGTGTTAGGCATTTATGTGGTCTAGAAATAGGGCTCGAAAGCTTTAACTAACTCATCATTGGTATTATAATGATAATCATGTTTTGATGAAACATACTTTCTATTGTTTCAGGTACTACAGAAAACCCCCTGTTAACTCAATCTACAAAAGGCCCTCTGCACTATGCCTTCCCGTCGCGAGCCAGCCCGACCCTGCGGCATATCGTCGACCCAAACGGGCCCCCGTTTTCAACGACCAAACCCTCTACGGAATGCAGCAGGTAGATGCGAAACGATAATAACAACTTTCATTCGAGAAATTCCCGCTCCGACCCTTCATTAAACAATGTCCTTCTTGAATTTTCGAAGTACAATTTAAAGGTAACGACCCGGCATTCTAGAACATTCATTATCGTTCGCGGCTTCTGAAATGGACAGGGGTGTTTTCAAGAAGGAATGTTTTCTGGGGTACTGGATTCTTTTGAATTGAAAAATGAGAATTGAAACGTTCCATGTTCTCAAACTGATAGAGGATGTTTTTTATAGAGGTGGTGAAGGAACATGAGAAGTTTCATGATGATCTTTGACCACGTAGTAGCGGCTACATTCATTAATTTCTTTTGAACTATCTCAATTTTAACAAATTCTGTTCCTAGAAAGAAAGTTGAGGATATGGACTGATGATTTGCTCTTCATTGCATAACCTTTTGATTTCTAGGAAATCCCATCGGGGATGGAAAATCCAAGCTTAGAAAGTCCAGTGGATGATGGCACTAAGGACCAGATTGATGCAGTTTTGGTCCCCCACAAGGTGGATTCTGAGGGAGACGTTGACGCTAAGATATCTAACTTCGAAGAATTATTGGCAAAATTTGAGAGGGAGAATGGACCAAAGAAAACGAAGAGTCGGAACGACATTTCTAAGATATCAAAATTTTTGAAACCCAGGGTGAGATTTGTGTTGAACGTCTCTGGCGGGCACGATAATATTTCCATATTGTTCAGTCAAGGAAAATACATCGGTGCGGTTTTATATTTGAGCAAAACAAGAGAAATCCGGAATCAAAAGATATTTAAAATCATAAAAAATTCAAAAATCCAAAAATCAATCAAACCTAATTTAAAAAGAAGAATGCAGAAATACGAGACCCCAAAAAATTCCAAAAATGCCAGAATATGTTCACAAATCAGTTAGAGATCATTTCTTGTTTCCCTCTGTCCCTCCTCTGAAATCCTTTGCAATTGCGACTTTTCAAATTCATCATTTTCACACACAAGTACCGCATTCTATCCGATCGAAACAAGAGAAATACAAAAATCAAGAGGAGTCCGAAAATCCAAAAAAAATTAAAAAAAAATCCAGAATATATTCACAATGTTCCCCACGAAGATATCAGTAAAAGAGCGGTCCTTGCAAAACCACCATTATGTTCATAATCAGGTGTCAAAAATAAAAAGAAACAAAGATCTAAATATCCTAGGATCTGAAAACCGAGAAAATACATAAAATTTTTGATTATATTCACAATGCTCCTGACTACAGTGACAGTAGAAGAGAGTCCCCTGTTTGTCCCCCTTCCCCAAAATCATCCCTTCATCATAGGCAGTTATTGCCACCTTCCATACATAGTAATATAAGGGAATTGAAAAAATCGAGAGACATTCAAAAACAAATAAAAAATGAAATAAAAAAATCCAATCCAAGAATAAAAAAATACAAAAAAGCTAAACATTCAAAAATGTTCAGAATATGTTCACAGTGATTCTCACAACAATATCAGTATAAGACCGTTTCTTGTTCCCCTCTCTTCTCTGAAATCATAGTTACATCAGGTGCAGTATTTGGCTAATTAAAAAAAACACAAATCAAAACCTCATATTTTTGAAAAATTCAAAAATACAACAAAATTCAGGATATGTTCACAATACCCCCCATGACAATACCAGCAGGAGAGCGTTCCCTAATCCTCTTCCTCCTCAAAAGTGATCCTCACATTAGGGGCAGTATTTCGTTGATCGCTACGTTCCAAACTCATCATCAGGTCCATCCAAATTATGTCCCTCATGTTCACATTTCCGCTTTCTATTCCAGCGAAAGAGGAGGAATCTAGAACTCAAGAGAAATCCAAAACTACAAAACCAATACATAAATCCAAAACTCCATAAATTTGAAAGTCCAAGAAATTGAATTCTGAATATATTCACAATGCCTGTCCCTCCTTTGAAATCATCCTCATATCGGGTGCGGTATCTTGTTAGTTGCTACCAAAACCATTATCAGGTCCACACACATTATGCCCTTCATGTTCACATTTTCGCTTTCTATTCAAGCGGAAGAAGAGGAATCTTAGGCGACGCCGTAGGCGAGAGTAACTCCACAATCATCAACAATACAGACCCGACGGACGTTCAGGATGTGACCGCGGATTCATTGGAAAGGTTACTCAACCAGCTCAAAAAATGCGAACTAGCGGTCGGAAATGAGTCGGTCTTGGAGAAAAATGATTGCCCCACCGGTGCGAGACAACGGAAAGACAAAGCGGAAAGCAGGGAGGATGAAGGGGGTGTCGAGAAAGGCAATATGGGTGAAGATGAGGTGAGTGATTGAATATGACTTTGAGGAAAATGAAGGATTTATTATTTGACTTTATTTCAAGTTTTTCAAGGAACATTGGTTGCTTATAATAGGAAAATTTCTACTCAAAGTGTGTTTGAAAATATAGAGTAATTCAATGTTTATATGAAAGTAGCTGTTTCAGGTAGTTTTTTCAGTTTGTGTCTGAAAGTTACTTCTTTGCATGATACCTTGTAGATCATGCAAAGAAGTATAGAGTTACTTAATTTAGAATTGATAACTTCCTTCGTTTCCTTGAAAGATTCCCTCATTCTTGTTTTTTGTATCAAGATGGAGTAGTAGAAAGCCAAAAACTTTCTTTCCCGAAAAAATATAGTGTGCTGTTCAAAAAATTGGGTGGATGTTCGATGGAATTTCGCGGGCTACGAATATTCGATTCCCGTTTATTTTTTTTATTTTTGTAAGCGTATGTAAGCAGTTTCAGCTATTTAGCATGTTTATTCTGTTGGTGAGAGCCATGAAAGTGAAAAGTGTTTTGCAAGTTCGGTGATTTTCTGCCACAAAAAAAATTATCAAAGAATTTGCATAAAATTTTGTGTGAAAAAACCCTCAATACTTCTTTCTAAAATTAACAAACTCTCCGACAAATTTTTATTTTCCAATTCATTATGCCTAATGTTGAATTTCAAATGAGTTCAGAACGTGAAGATATATTTCGAAAATGAATTAAAAAAAACGCCCGAGCAGGGACTTGAACCCTGGACCCTTGGATTAAAAGTCCAATGCTCTACCGACTGAGCTACCCGGGCTACATAAAAAAAATAACAAGGTATTGTAGTGTATTTAAAGTCCATTTTCTACAATAGGTAACTTGTCAATTTTTTTATTTTAATTCCAGGCTATGTATTTATGATTTGGACATGTTGGAGAGATATTTGTAACTAAAGAACGGTTCGTTAGATTTTCATGATTTTTGATGTGGATTTATCTTCGTTCGTGATGAATATCAAAATATTCTAAAAATTAAGAAAATGATTCATTACTCAATGACTTCGATCTGTTGAATTTGCCTCCAAACATATATAGCCTTTTTCAACTAAAATTACCTTTTTGATCCTTTTCTGTCTTCTCTGGTAATATTAGATACTTCTTCAACTAGCTCTATTACCTTCTTATCAAATTGTGGAAAATTATTTTNGAACACACTACGCCTATGCAGATAAGGACGCTTGATAATGAAGAAACCGAATGACTATTTATGGCATTTTAAGGACGCAAATATAATAGACCTGCGAAATGTTGATCAGTTTACCGATGTTTCAAAGTATTTAACGAACTGGTTCATCTATTCGCTCCTACATCCTATCGATATGCAGAAGCTATCTTGTTACGGGGGCAAATTTTATGGAATCATCTTACTTTTCAATTATTTACAATGGCGATGCATAGACAATAAAAATGGCCCCGATAATAATTTACTTCTAACATTTAACATTGTTGCCGTTAGCTCTCAGTTCATTTTGTATATGAGTTATCTTCAATTGAAAATTGTTATACTATAGCGAAACATGCGCTGTGTTCTTCTGAAATTGTTTAGATAATTTCCCAGAATGATTTCTTGAATATAAGTTTTTCGAAATTTCCGATGTTTTGACTTATAGCCAGTCTTCAAGTGTGCCCAGTGACTATAAGTGAAAATATTTGAAAGTGACTCATATATCATACTTTTTGAAACAGAAACCAACTATGGACGATCACTGTGCCCTGGAATTACATCGATCCAAGAGCTACATTGTCAATCTCATCGACAGAGCGCTCAGCAAGGAGTTGGGGACTGTACCCGGGGAAAGGAGTCGAAGAAAGGTAAATTAAAAATAATTGGAGATAATTCGAAAGTTGCAAGGAACTTTTAATGACAGCAATTTGTTGTCTCATTCGGAAATGGTTTCCAAAATCCTGGCTCGATTGAACGAGGTAATTGGAATGGAAATGTACCAATTGCAAGAAGTTTTCGCTACATAGCGATTTCTTCTTCATTGATCTGTGAGGAATACATTCGAATTTTTTGGCTGGAAAGTTCGAAAATTCAGTCAATTTTTTTTTCATATTCGAAATATAACGAAGAGTTATTGAGTAAGAAAGATTATTATTGTGAAATCTGGGATCGAAATCAGTAAAAACGAATTATACTTGGCATTTGAACTGATTGAGAGGTTGCTTTTGCTTCCTTTGTATACAGAATTTAGGATTGAATTTTACTAAGTAATAAAGAATGGTAAACACCCATTTATATAAAAAATATTTCAATAATGTTTTGCATGTGTATTTATGATGAGGCCATTAAAAGCCAGTAAAATTTCAGACGTACAGACGTATTGGAAGCTATTTTGACCAGATTTTAACAGTGACGGCTCGTGCATTGGAGAACAGGGGAGGCTAAAGTCATAAATACTATATACACATAGAAAAACCCCCGGAGGCGAGAAAATTTTTATGTTGTTGCACGCTTTGCTTAATACTAAAGTTAGGACATGGGCATGATAATGCGTAAAAAGTGCACGGGGAACTATGGACTTTATTTTAGTTTGTAAACCATTTAAATGGCCGGCCATGACGTCAGCCCCATCATAGGTTTGCGCAATTAACTTTTGCCTGAAATTATAGGTGTCACACGTACGAATCGAAAAATTAAACATATCGTCAGCTGTGCACCCAGATGAAACATCATGAACACCCATGAAACGTTCTACCACATTACCATCTTTAACATATCTAAAAACGATTGAAAGTTGTGATGTACAGGTAATATAGGTAGTTTCATCAATTTCTCATGCAAAAAAGGAAACACTTTCAGTCTCCTTGCTTATATTTTCCTTAATAATATACGCCATACTATAAGCTCATTTTGGTAGGTTTTTGAGGTGCCCAAGAAAAGGCTACCATTTAAAAAAGTGCCAAATTGTGAATCATATTTGCCCCATAACATCAAAAGTTCCTTGTTATTGCCGCGATTAATCGAATCTTCGGTATCATCGTGTCCACGAAAAGCTAATTCTTGGGAACCCAAGTAAATCGTGATATGGATAATTAAGTCTTTTTGAATTCGACCGATTTTCGCTAACCTGATTATTAAAATAAATTATGGCCTCTTTTTGAGCTGTATCTAAAGCTGTTGCTCTAATTTGTTTGCTAAACAATTTTAATTTACAAGACGAAAATATATGCTCCTCAGAATTAAAATGTCTTTCTGTAGAACAAGGTAATTTTTTTAAATCGGAGTATCCTATTTTGAACCAAGTTTGGTATTCGGTTTGTACGGAAAATTAAACACAGGGCCAACAAAAAATGTTTCTCGTTTGATGGAATCGGTTAACCAATCGCATTTATCGTACCAACTAATATTAAATCCTCGATTTTGTCGATTATCTGACGTTTTCACTTGTTATACCTAGTAGGTTTCTTTCCAAAAATGGAAAAATCTGCACGGCAGACTCTGAAGAGGATTATACTAAATATTTCCCAATCAAATTCTACATGGTCGGGTTGAAAACTGATTTGTTATTCAATCACGATTTCATTGTATGGTCAATAGTTTTTTCACATTTCTGTACTGATTTCTTTTTAGACTATTTGGTGTCGAAGTCCAAACTATAAAATTCCTAGTTATCACCAGTTCTCAGTTTAAGACCTCCAAACAGGTCAGCTGATTCCGTAAACTTCAAGTGCACATAAAATGAACTGCTTACACTGACTACAAAATCCATAATAGCGAATTCTTTATGAAATCAAACAATCCCAAGATTTCTTAGTTTGTTTCAGTTTGAGGATATGAACACGAAGAAAGCCATAGATGCAGTGAATCGACACTCAGGTCAGTCCAATAAGGAACTATCTGTGAAAATAACGAGTGCCTTGACCGATTCTCTTATTTCCAATGCCACCGCACCCGAAGAGGATCTTGAGCCCTCGAGTTCGAATAAAGTGTGTTGTTGTAATTCAGGTGAGCTTCCTCATTCAATATTATTAATAATGATAGTGTATAAGCACTAACCCCTAAGGCCTTTGGTAAGTTGCGACACCGTTTACCCGAGCAGCTGGTGCAAAAACCGGATCGGCAGCCCCAGCGCACCCAGGAGGAAAAATACTATTCTTCTTTCGGTCCCGGTCATGGGTTTAAAGAACTAACCACCCTGTAGATCCAAAACTCGATTTCTGGTAGTCAAGGAAGGGGACCCCACGATCGATTCGCTCGGTGGTATCAGAGGCAAGGTGGTGGGGCCCACCTTGCCTACCGATGATAACCCTGACAATTTTTGAGGATAAGGTCCAGGTGAAAAAATTAAACGTGGGGCCTTCGGTCAGTTGCGCCATCACTAACCCGAGTGATCGGTGCTAAAACCGGACTGGCAGCCTAGGCGCACCCGGAAGGGAGAACACTATCCTTTCTCCGGTGACGGCCGGGGGTCTACAGGGCTAACCACTCGGTAGATCCAAAATTCGGTTCCTAGCAGTCGAGAAAGGGGACCCCACGATTGACTCGCTCGGTGGTATCAGAGGCAAGGTGGTGGGGCCCAACACAATGGTTTGCCTACCGATGATAACCCTGGCAATGATGTTTGATGATGGTTATGCGTCCTACCGAGCTTCGGGGGTTGGGGCCCGAACACCGGCCCCAACCTAACGCCTTTGGTGAGTTCAGCAACACTTACCAGAGAAACTGGTGCAAAAACTGGACCAGCAGCCCAGTCGCACCCGGAAGGGAGAACGCTAGTCTCCCTTCGGTGGACCCAGAACTTGGTTCCTGGTAGTCGAAGAAGGGGATGCCGCGATCGATCCGCCTGGTGATATCAGAGGCAAAGTGGTGGAGCTCAACACGATGATTTGCCTACCGATGACAACCCTGGCAATGATGTTTGATAATGCTGGCGCGCCCTCCTGAATGTTTCGAGGCTTCTAGGAATAGGGCCCGATCAGCGGCACCTCAGGTGAAAAAATAATACCTGAGGCCTTTTGTGAGTTGGGACACAACTCACCCGAATAACTGGTGCAAAAACCGGACCGGCAGCCTAGACGTCCTGGGAAGGGGAACACTATTCTCTCTTCGGTGCCGGCCGTGGGTCTACAGGGCTAACCACTTGATAGTCGTGGAAGAGGGCCTACCGATCGACCCGCTCAGTTCGGTCAGAGGCAAGATGGTGGGGCTCAACACGTTGATTTGCCTACCGATGACAACTCTGACAATGATGATTGATGATGCTGGCACGGCTTACTGAATGTATCTTAGTTTCGCGGGATAGAGTTCGACCAACGCCACCTCAGGTGAAAAAATAATACCTAAGCTTTTTGTGGGTTGCGTCACAATTTACCCGAGCAACTGGTGCAAAAACCGGACCAGTAGCCCAGGCGCTCCTGGGATGCGGAACACTATCCTTCCTCCAGTGCCGGCCGTGTGTTGACAGGCCTAGCCACCTGGTAGACCCAAAGCTCGGTTCCTGGTAGCCGATCGATTCGCTCGGTTTGTTCAGAGGCAAAGTGCTAGAGCCCAACATGATAATTTGCCCACCGATGACAACCCTGGCAATGATGATTGATAATGCTGGCGCGGCCTACTGAATTTATCGGGGCTTTATAGGACCCAACTTGCGCCACCATAGGTGAAAAAGACACCTGAGGCATTTGGCAGAGAAAAAAGCCTCTACAATCAACTTGCTCGGTGGGGTCGGAGGTAAAGTGGTGTGGCTCAACACGATGGTTTGCTTATCGATGACAACCCTGATAACGAAGGTTGATAATGCTGACGCGCCCACCTGAATGTATCGGGCTTCGTGAATTAGGGATCGGCCAGCGCAACTTTGGGTTGAACAATAATAATGATGCAAGGTTCGCGACCATCGGAGAACAGGAATTGGAGTATTTCTCTTCAGGGCAGCTGGGCTGATATCTGAAATTGAGGGTACATCATGATGGCAGGCCGGCACCCCAGCATTGCCTTATGTTATGCCATCAGAGATGGTCGAGAAGATGCTGGTCATGGAGTTTTCAGCTCCCGATTTCTCTTCGAACCCCACATACTCTGATTATTGAAGTCCTTAGTGGAATGATGCCTTCTTTACTCTCGAATCTGATTATTACACCGGCTTGTCACACTAAGGCAGAAATCTTGGCTGGAAAATGTTTATTTAATTCACTTTGTTTGTGCTATAATCATTTCATTCTATGCTTTGAGTGGTTGAGTACTAATCTATTGGTAGATCAAGGTTTTTACTGGTTGAGTATACTTCTGCGAAGAGAAACCGTAATAACTTATACTAATTAGTCATATGTTGTAGCTCAAGTATTTTTTACAGAAGAACCTACGTACATAAAGCAACTGAAGCAGTTGAGATGGGGCCATCTGAAGCATATACAGCGAGAGGTTAGGAGATTGGAGGATCTAGAAAGATTTTTGGATTCTTGTTCTATAACCACTATACCAGAACTCTAAAATACCCTTAATAAAAGTCCGATTGAATCAAACCAGTTTTATTATACAAAATAGTAGCCTAATTGTCTATATATTTACAGATAGATTGGAGGATCTAGAAAGGTTTTTGGATTCTTGTTCTATAACCACTATACCAGAACTCTAAAATACCCTTAATAAAAGTCCGATTGAATCAAACCTGTTTTATTATACAAAATAGTAGCCTAATTGTCTATATATTTACAGAAGCAATTTACAGTTTTATGTACAAAAATAGATACAGTCACCTATACAAACACAAAACACTTTTTCGGTGTTACAAGTAAAAAAATATGTGGGCATTGTCGTTCTGTATAAACTATACCCTAAGTCCACCACGGAGTGTGCTTTTTCTCCTTCATTAACAATACCCACTCATCGAAATTTGGTGTCAAGTATGACCCTAAAGAATTATTTTTCATTTAATTTTCCCCTTCGACTTCCTTCTTGGAATTCTTTGGATATTGCTATACGTCGTACTTTCCCGCGGACTTTCTTTCGCGTTTCTATTTCTCTTATTTCTTTTCACCTCCGAGAGGTCGATAGGTGCCTCCCCCAGGTTTTCACCACTACTGAAAGGAATAAATCGTGGCAAGTCTTTCGGAGCAAATATGTTCGTTATGAATTTAGGTGTCAAGCTATTGACGAAAGGTAATACATTTTCTCTGGTGAATCTTTCAGCTTGTTGGAACATTCTTCCAATATTTTGAGGAAGGACCTGTACAGTGTTTATGATCATTTCCAGGGGATCGCTCATCTTCTTGGACTGCACCTGTAATTGATGTCATCGGATTTGAACAAGGGGTACTTTTAGGTGCAAAGTGTTAGTATTTGATAACCCTCTGTTTGTTAGTACCTGTACCATGACAATGATGTTCTATTAAGCGGGTGAAAGGTGCAGCACCAAGATGAACTGATTATCTAACCTCGTGTGTATATAACCCAGAAAAAGATACATGTACATTTATTGGAAAGTTGAATTTGAACTGAACGTAAGAGCTTCTCTCGAGTGACGAGATTGGAAACAATGGTACTGAACTTTTTGTTATTATTGTCTCTTGTCATATGTGAGATCTTACGATCATAACAAATTCCTGGGTGACATCTCCTTATAGAGTTTCACTATATCAATTTCAACTCCATCTACGAGTGGGGTATTTTCGAAAATTGATGCTAGTTACTAAAATATTATCCAAGTCAATTCAGTTTCATTGAGCTTGGGAACTTCTCATTTTCATAATTAGATGCTATTACTAATTACAAGGCAATATAGAATGGCAGTGATACTTTATAGATAATATAAAATGAAAACAGTTTATTATACAGTTCGAACAAAAATCTGATAGAAACAAAGAAGTTGTGAAGCTTCTAGAGTAGGCCAAATTGAAGCTACAAATATCTTCAAAAACTGTTGGAGAGTGTTATAACTTTTGGCGAAGAAATTCAAATGGAAAGAGACATTATTCATGCTTTTCTGATGAAGAGGCAACTTTGGGTCTCACTTAACTCATCTAAATTCTTCATCAACTCGCTGTTGATGAATGATAGTTGAGGAATTACTAATGAATGTCATGAAGGCTGTCATGAAAGTGGGAAATTTCATTCTCAATTGTTTAGTATCTCTTCTTGATCATGTGAAGGTTTCAATAACTTCATAGGTGATAGCTTCCTTTATCCAAGATCATGAGAAGAGACCGATATATTTTTGTTTTGTTTCCGGGTTTTGCCCGGAATCGCAACTGCCGCAGCCTTCTTCAGTGGCAGTCATTTATACTGCTGATATTTCGGGCATTTTCTGTAACGGCGGATGGCAGAAAGTGCATGAAAATTCAGCACTAGAAATGACATGGCAAAAATGGGAGCTTCAGTTTCAGTTGATACGTCAAGAAGAGTTTGGAGATTGTAACCAATGAAGACCACGGCAAAACCCGAAAGCCAACCAAAACATTGACTCCAGCCTTGGAAGGTCACATTTCTATATCGTGAAATCTTTCATAATTTGATGGGGCAGTAGATATGCAGAGGAGCAGAGTACAATTTTTGATAAATATTGTTGAAACATTGGTACTGAAGACATGGTACGCTTGACTAATTGCACAAGATGTAGATTCCAAACAGATCAAATGATACAACTCGATTGTGACAGTTTGATCCATGGACTACAAGCGAGTTAAGCCTGACACTATGCAGATCCTCCATCACCCTTCACCAACTGCTTTGGTAGTTGAAGATATTATTCAAGATGAAGTCATTCTGAACTTGACCCAACAGCAGTGAGCTGAGTGGAGTGAAGAAGCCTTTAATATTTTCCTGCCTAGATATTTCAGACAAACTGTCAACATCTATTGAGGTAGCATAGGCCTTGAGCGAACACATTTGTTTTCATACTCTTACTCGTGTTTATAGGTTTGATGTTGATCATTTGTGTATATAATCTTTCTTGATTCGTCTCCCAAGAATAGGTGTGAAACGAGAACGTTAATAATTTTTATTCAGTATAAAAATAACAAATATATACAAGTTCTGTCATATACGAATAATTAATCTCACTCGAAAGCCCGAATCAATTCAACAAAGGAATATACTTGATTTTGTTCGCATCTTTTTCGAAAACGGGTAAGTCTATATAAATGGCTCTAGGATCTGGTCTGCTAGAATTAGCGACGTGATCCGAAAAACTGTCAACTTTCTTACTGACACCACTAACATTCAAATCATCCCTAGCCTTCCTAGTCACTTGTTTAGGTGTTGGAGTAGTTGCCTGCAACCCATTTTCCTCCTGCTTATATTGAGCAATTACTTTCGTGACAGGTACCAATAGATCCTCCTGAGTCTTGTCTCCCCTCCTTTTGATTTTCTGAATGAATGTGAAGGGAGTGGTTACATCGTTTTTCGCAGATTCAGGCAAGACTGGAGAAGGATGTCCCATTTCCCTACCTTTCTCTGCTACCTTTTCAGGTTTAGCAGAAGTGGATTCCTTATTGGTGTCTTCTTTGTACTTCAGAGGTATGTACTTGGGCTTCGATGGCTTGGGAACGATGATGTCAGAGATGAACCTCGGAGTGTACGTACTCACTAGCGGAAACAGGTTTTCTCTAGCATACTTCTCAGCTTCCTCAAACATCCTAGCTATTCTTTTCGGCAAAAATTGTACAGTTGTAGCGATTGTTTCAATAGGGTCGTTGCGGTTGGAGTGGCTAACAACGTTCAATATTCTTGACTCGTCCTCACGTTTTCGCTTGGTCTCAAGTTTCGGTTTGGCTGAGAAGTCTTTAGGAACCCAGTCTATCGAGTCTGAGGCATCGTAGAACGCTAACTTAGGGTCTTTGCTGGTTTGACCATCTTTTGATTTGAGTTCAATCTCGAGAGTCTTTGTCAGCTTCGATAAATTTTTCGTAGTGGTCGGTCCCAAGATAGGCTCGGTTATCTCCGGCTTCTCCTTATCGGGGTCGTGTGATCGCGCGTTTTTACTAGACTGCGGCTTCAGAATCGGTTCAACAATTTCTCTCAAGAGTCCATTTTTATCGGCTTCATCGAAACGCCCTGGTTTGGTTACCCTCGTATTGAATGCGCGACTAGATTCTGCCTCATCTATCAGGTCGTTCTCCTTCTCGTCCGTCCATGGCAAGTTATAGAAATCTATAGGCTCGGACGACGCGACAGATTGGTCTAACTTGAGATATTTATCTTCCAAGCCTACTCTGACGACTTGTGTTGGGATGAATTCGGGTTTCTTGTCGGTGAAGTTGAACGGCTTTGTGTCATCTGCGTTCTCGATCCTATCCTCTGCTTCATCGTCGGTGTTTTTTGGTAAGTTACATTCTCCTGGATACAGAGGAAGTATTACTGGAGTACCAGACTCAAGTATGAGGTTTTTCTTGCATACGGAAGACCTGAAAGTATTAAATTATTTCAAACAGAATAGTATATCAGAATGGCATTTGAATATTGAACACGATTCAATTAACAGTAACTCGAAACGTATTTGAATCACGAAAATCAGTCAATTGACAAATTCAAAACTGATCTAATCCGGGTAACAAATTGAAATCAATGAACATCAAGTTGGCAGTGATATTTGTAACCAAATTAAATTTTCTGTGAATGATTGATATGCAAATATCGGAATCAGCTAGCAATTGGATTGAACGCCACTCACAGAATAATTTTCACAATAAATAATCAGTGGAAATTTCGATGAGTGAAATCTGGAGGTCAATGCTGATTTTTCTACCAAAATACATAATTGTCGTCTCGATGAATCTATGTTCATCAGCCTAGAGATTGCAGAATAAAATGTGGGAAATATTCGTATGTGAAATTCTACAGGAGGTTATTTTTGAAACCAAAATATAGAAGCCTTCAAAATAAGTTTCCATTTGTAAGTTCCAGCGAGTAATTGATTCAAATTAGCGAGACCGGGGCTAGAAGTCACACTTTTTGTCTTTTGCATTTCAAGTGTCCTTTTTCATCGATTATCAAAAATATTCTCATATCAATAGACAGTGTTTTCATACTCTATTGAAAAGAAATATTTCTTTCTCCAACTTCATCCATGAAGGAAATTCCTATGAAGAAGAAAAAGTGTGACCCGGGGTCGGGGATGAGAGGTCTACAGCACTTAGGCCACATGTGACCCATTGTACATCCTCCTGAGGAGTTGTCCTCCTAGTTCATCGTCCATCCTGTCCTTTCCAGGAAGGTGGACAGGTTACTAGGAGATATCTTCTTCATATCGGCAGGTGTAGGCCAAGATTCGCCGAACACACACTTCGTTATTGACGATAACTTCGGACATCCGCATAGAATATGTGGGACAGTTTCATGTTCCTGTTCACATATCCTGCATAGAGGTGTGTTCACTAGCCCCATATTGTGGAGGTGTTTCCTCAGTTGACAGTGGCGAGTCAGAAATCCTTCTGTTAAGCGTTGATTCTTCCTGGTCATCGCCAGATATTTCTTGGGCGCCAGCTTCCCCAGAGTGATCCTGGGGAAGCTGGCGCTGGCGTTTTCATCCCATCTCTTTAGGGATTCTGAATTTTTGTGGCGTTTGGCTAGTTCCGCAATTGTCCAAGTCATCAGGCCGTAGGTGCCACTGATCAACTCCTGATTCAGTAACGAAACCTATATAAAGGTTTGGTGGTGCAGCCATGAAACGACTGGGTCGCTTGTAGAAGTTATTCCAGATGAATGGGCCTTAGGTTCAATTCAGGGCTGCACTTTTCAACATGGATGGTTACAGGTCTCCTGTGAGGATCAGGACAGCACCGGCAGTTGAATAAGCTATCAAGTCGTTTCAGCTCTTCAAATCTCCTGGAGATGATGATATATTTCCAACTCCTCTTTAAAACGGACTGGAAATGATTTTACCCAATCTCATAAAATTGTATAGAGCTGGTCTGGCATGAAACTACATACCACCTAGTTGGTTGGTAGCAGGGTGGTATATATACTTAAAGTGGGCCGGAAAGACCCACACCCCAAATCGGTACGACCAATCAGCCTTGCATCCTTCATGTAGAAAGTACTTGAGTGGATAATGGAGGCACACATCAGGAAGGTTGCTTTATATGCAGCCCCCTGAATGACCACCAGTATGCTTATCAAACCGGCATATCCACAGATTTAGCACTAAACAACCTTGTAGAAAAAATCTCCCAAATACAATATAATATAATGTGCAAAAAAATTCGCCATTTTGAAATACTCAAGCGCGTCAGATCAAGATATATTTCGTTTCAGCTCTTCAAATCTCCTGGAGATGATGATATATTTCCAACTCCTCTTTAAAACGGACTGGAAATGATTTTACCCAATCTCATAAAATTATATAGAGCTACAACATGAAACTACATGAAACTACATACCACCTAGTTGGTTGGTAGCAAGGTGGGCCGGAAAGACCCACACCCCCAATCGGTACGACCAATCAGTCTTGCATCCTTCATGTAGAAAGTACTTGAGAGGATACTAGATGCACACATCAGAAAGGTTGCTTTATATGCAGCCCCCCTGAATAACCACCAGTATGCTTATCAAACTGGCATATCGACAGATTTAGCACTAAACAACCTTGTAGAAAAAATCTTCCAAATACCTTGACAACAAGGAGATTGTGGTTGCTGTATTTCTTGATATTGAAGGAGAATTTGACAATACAATACCTAAATCCAGCCGCTTTCTTGGCTGAAGAGTCGGCAATGCCATTACCTTTACTTCTGTCCTGTCCTTTAACCGACCTCAGGATATTGTTATTATCCAACGAGGCTTTGGATAAATCTTGGTGGCACTCTAGTACTAACCCTGAGGTAACACGTTGTCTGTTTAAGGCTAATAGGGCATGTCTGCTATCAGTGGAGATTGTTATGTTTTTGCCATAAATTCCTTTCCTGGTCATTTCTTTTGTGGTTGAAATACCAGCCAGTTCTGTTTGGACCGCGCTGGTTTTCTTCATTCCTCACTTAATCCTTAGACTTAGTGATCTGTAGTACACTCCACATCCAGAGCTTCTTTGGCTTTTGAGCCGTCTGTATATATGCGTATCGCATTTGTAACATCTGACTCTGTGTTCTGTTTTATTTGTATTTTGTAGGGTTTATTAAACACAAATCTGGGTTCAATTGCATCACTGGTCTCTTAGTGACCTGTCCACCTTCCTGGAAAAGAAGGATAGACGATGACCTAGGAGGACAACTCTTCGGGAGGATGTACAATGGGTCATATGTGGCCTAAGTGCTGTGGGCCTACACTCACCTTCCCTACTTGACAGATACAGATACAGACAATGGATAAAGAAAACATAGAAATTCTCCGTACGTGTAGTAAAGAAAGGGAGAATAATTTGTGGTAAGCAATGAAAATAACTGAGATGAATTATAACCTCAATTTCGAAACCTTCAATGGCCAACTAGAACTATGCAAGGTTCCTTTTTCGAATTTGTGAATTTTGACATCTAGGTATTTCAGGATCTATTGGTATTTTCTGATTGATTCGGCCGTTACTTGATGAAGATCCATAGTAATTTCATAATAACAGGGGAGCCCACGATGTAAAATGGAGATTCACTCGAGCGTCATAGAGACATATTAGGTTGCAAAGCTTAGATGAT